TTCCTGCTCTTGCAGGGAATGTGGAGAACTAAGTGGCCTGCAATCGTGACTGTGTCTATGGGTTTGAAGTTGTGGGCACTGATGCTCCTGCATGCTTCCGTACAGTGCCTTCATTTTTTCTCGGTGTATACAAGTCAGCTCGGTCCCGTTTCAGCAGGGTGCGGGAGGGGCTACCTGGCCTTCATGCCTTAAAGCCACACAGATACTGAAGATGCCGGGCCAAACTAGCGGTCCACAGCTCCAAGAGGGTCAGCAACTAACAAAGGACTCAAGGCCCAGACCTGCGGGGCTCTTCATGGGACTAGTTCTGAAAGAGACTCCAAAGCTGCAGAGCGAGAGCGTGGAGGACGGCTGCTTTGCCCATGCACGGTGCCCTGCAGCTCTTGTGCTTGCTCTCTGGGGAGCTGCAGCTTCCCTCAGGACACATGACCTCTCTCGGCGTGGTCTCTCGCACGGGCTGCGCTGCATTAAGAATTTATGTTCTGGCTGCAAGACCACCTTCTCCTCCTCTCTCCTCCTCCTTCCGCTCCTCCTTCTCTTCCTCCTGCACCTCCTCTCCTCCCCTTTGTCTGCCCCTCCAAACCTCTCCCCTTTACGTCCCGCCAGCTTCACCTTCCGTTTGCAAGCGGTTTCTCACACTTTTTCTCCTCCCCCGATGCTGAGCAGCATTTTCCCTTTTTGGGCCTTTGCTAGCAACCTTTCTCCCGAGGCCCCGCCTCTTGGCGCTGAGTCTGCCATGCATTGCGGCAGTGCCGCTGGAACCGGCTGCAGTTGCACTGGGCCAACTCGGCGTTTACTCAGAGGCCACCGCAGCCCCCGGTGCCAGCACTGGGCATACAGCCGCACGGGTCTCTAGAGACATAACACCTACATCTGAGACCTTCCCGGTCTGGAAGCAGGCACCAATCAGAGGGAGGTGAGACAGAACAGGGTTTTAATAAGAAAGCGCTAAGCCAATCAGAGAGCGGTACAAACACAGTGGGTTGGGCCCTTTCACAAAATGGCGGCTCCTCACTGTGGATGCGGCAGAAACAAAATGGTGCCCGCCCTGCGGTGGGTGGGAGGATTGCCTGTCTGGCCCTCCCACTCTCGGGAGGGCCACTCAGCAGTAGTCCTGCCCTTCACAAAGGCCCTTTCCCCGCCCTGCCAGCGGTGTATGCCCAGCGCCTCCACTGGTGGCGGAAGAGCTGCAGACACGGCCTGTGGAGCTGGCTAGCACAGAAGCAGCATCGCGCCTGCGCAGTGCTGCGATCGACCGGCCGCTTGGTAGCAGGTGTCCACAGACATCAGGCGAAGTCAAGTGGGCCTGCACTGTAATCTGGGGAGTGGAAGGGGTTTAGCTGCCAGCTTTTGGGAGGGGCGTGTGTGCGCATTTCAGAAACCAGGTGGACTGTTCCTGCTCTTGCAGGGAATGTGGAGAACTAAGTGGCCTGCATCGTGACTGTGTTATGGGTTTGAAGTTGTGGGGCACTGATGCTCCTGCATGCTTCCGTACAGTGCCTTCATTTTTTCTCGGTGTACAAGTCAGCTCGGTCCCGTTTCAGCAGGGTGCGGGAGGGGCTACCTGGCCTTCCATGCCTTAAAGCCACACAGATACTGAAGATGCCGGGCCAAACTGAGCGGCCACAGCTCCAAGGAGGTGCAGCAACTAAAAAGGACTCAAGGCCCAGACCTGCGGGGCTCTTCATGGGACGTAGCTGAAAGAGACTCCAAAGCTGCAGAGCGAGAGCGTGGAGGACGGCTGCTTTGCCCATGCACGGTGCCCGCAGGCTCTTGTGCTGCTCTCTGGGGGCTGCAGCTTCCCTCAGGACACATGACCTCTCTCGGCGTGGTCTCTCGCACGGGCTGCGCTGCATAAGAATTTCTGTTCTGGCTGCAAACCACCCCCCCTCTTCCTCCTCCTCTGCTCCTCCTCCGTCTCCTCCTTCCTCTCCACCTCCTTCTCCTCCCCTTGTGCTGCCCCTCCAAACCTCTCCCCTTTACGTCCCGCCAGCTTCACCTTCCGTTTGCAAGCGGTTTCTCACACTTTTTCTCCTCCCCCGATGCTGAGCAGCATTTTCCCTTTTTGGTGCCTTTCGTAGCAACCTTTCTCCCGAGGCCCCGCCTCTTGGCGCTGAGTCTGCCATGCATTGCGGCAGTGCCGCTGGAACCGGCTGCAGTTGCACTGGGCCAACACGGCGTTTACTCAGAGGCCACCGCAGCCCCCGGTGCCAGCACTGGGCAAACAGCCGCACGGGTCTCTAGAGACATAACACCTACATCTGAGACCTTCCCGGTCTGGAAGCAGGCACCAATCAGAGGGAGGATGAGACAGAACAGGGTTTAATAAGAAAGCGCTAAGCCAATCAGAGAGCGGTACAAACACAGTGGGTTGGGCCCTTTCACAAAATGGCGGCTCCTCACTGTGGATGCGGCAGAAACAAAATGGTGCCCGCCCTGCGGTGGGTGGGAGGATTGCCTGTCTGGCCCTCCCACTCTCGGGAGGGCCACTCAGCAGTAGTCCTGCCCTTCACAAAGGCCCTTTCCCCGCCCTGCCAGCGGTGTATGCCCAGCGCCTCCACTGGTGGCGGAAGAGCTGCAGACACGGCCTGTGGAGCTGGCTAGCACAGAAGCAGCATCGCGCCTGCGCAGTGCTGCGATCGACCGGCCGCTTGGTAGCAGGTGTCCACAGACATCAGGCGAAGTCAAGTGGGCCTGCACTGTAATCTGGGGAGTGGAAGGGGTTTAGCTGCCAGCTTTTGGGAGGGGCGTGTGTGCGCATTTCAGAAACCAGGTGGACTGTTCCTGCTCTTGCAGGGAATGTGGAGAACTAAGTGGCCTCGCATCGTGACTGTGTTATGGGTTTGAAGTTGTGGGGCACTGATGCTCCTGCATGCTTCCGTACAGTGCCTTCATTTTTTCTCGGTGTACAAGTCAGCTCGGTCCCGTTTCAGCAGGGTGCGGGAGGGGCTACCTGGCCTTCCATGCCTTAAAGCCACACAGATACTGAAGATGCCGGGCCAAACTGAGCGGCCACAGCTCCAAGGAGGTGCAGCAACTAAAAAGGACTCAAGGCCCAGACCTGCGGGGCTCTTCATGGGACGTAGCTGAAAGAGACTCCAAAGCTGCAGAGCGAGAGCGTGGAGGACGGCTGCTTTGCCCATGCACGGTGCCCGCAGGCTCTTGTGCTGCTCTCTGGGGGCTGCAGCTTCCCTCAGGACACATGACCTCTCTCGGCGTGGTCTCTCGCACGGGCTGCGCTGCATAAGAATTTATGTTCTGGCTGCAAACCACCTCCCTCCTCTTCCTCCTCCTCTGCTCCTCCTCCGTCTCCTCCTTCCTCTCCACCTCCTTCTCCTCCCCTTGTGCTGCCCCTCCAAACCTCTCCCCTTTACGTCCCGCCAGCTTCACCTTCCGTTTGCAAGCGGTTTCTCACACTTTTTCTCCTCCCCCGATGCTGAGCAGCATTTTCCCTTTTTGGTGCCTTTCGTAGCAACCTTTCTCCCGAGGCCCCGCCTCTTGGCGCTGAGTCTGCCATGCATTGCGGCAGTGCCGCTGGAACCGGCTGCAGTTGCACTGGGCCAACACGGCGTTTACTCAGAGGCCACCGCAGCCCCCGGTGCCAGCACTGGGCAAACAGCCGCACGGGTCTCTAGAGACATAACACCTACATCTGAGACCTTCCCGGTCTGGAAGCAGGCACCAATCAGAGGGAGGTGAGACAGAACAGGGTTTAATAAGAAAGCGCTAAGCCAATCAGAGAGCGGTACAAACACAGTGGGTTGGGCCCTTTCACAAAATGGCGGCTCCTCACTGTGGATGCGGCAGAAACAAAATGGTGCCCGCCCTGCGGTGGGTGGGAGGATTGCCTGTCTGGCCCTCCCACTCTCGGGAGGGCCACTCAGCAGTAGTCCTGCCCTTCACAAAGGCCCTTTCCCCGCCCTGCCAGCGGTGTATGCCCAGCGCCTCCACTGGTGGCGGAAGAGCTGCAGACACGGCCTGTGGAGCTGGCTAGCACAGAAGCAGCACTGCGCCTGCGCAGTGCTGCGATCGACCGGCCGCTTGGTAGCAGGTGTCCACAGACATCAGGCGAAGTCAAGTGGGCCTGCACTGTAATCTGGGGAGTGGAAGGGGTTTAGCTGCCAGCTTTTGGGAGGGGCGTGTGTGCGCATTTCAGAAACCAGGTGGACTGTTCCTGCTCTTGCAGGGAATGTGGAGAACTAAGTGGCCTCGCATCGTGACTGTGTTATGGGTTTGAAGTTGTGGGGCACTGATGCTCCTGCATGCTTCCGTACAGTGCCTTCATTTTTTCTCGGTGTACAAGTCAGCTCGGTCCCGTTTCAGCAGGGTGCGGGAGGGGCTACCTGGCCTTCCATGCCTTAAAGCCACACAGATACTGAAGATGCCGGGCCAAACTGAGCGGCCACAGCTCCAAGGAGGTGCAGCAACTAAAAAGGACTCAAGGCCCAGACCTGCGGGGCTCTTCATGGGACGTAGCTGAAAGAGACTCCAAAGCTGCAGAGCGAGAGCGTGGAGGACGGCTGCTTTGCCCATGCACGGTGCCCGCAGGCTCTTGTGCTGCTCTCTGGGGGCTGCAGCTTCCCTCAGGACACATGACCTCTCTCGGCGTGGTCTCTCGCACGGGCTGCGCTGCATAAGAATTTATGTTCTGGCTGCAAACCACCTCCCTCCTCTTCCTCCTCCTCTGCTCCTCCTCCGTCTCCTCCTTCCTCTCCACCTCCTTCTCCTCCCCTTGTGCTGCCCCTCCAAACCTCTCCCCTTTACGTCCCGCCAGCTTCACCTTCCGTTTGCAAGCGGTTT